TGTAGGCTGCATGGCTTCGGACAGGCTAGCTGTAGCCTGTGCTAAAGGCCACAAAGGTGGAGATGCCAATGCCAAGGTTGCACCCTGCGGTGTCCCAGGCGCCTCCCGCCTAGGCGCCTCCCGCCTAGGCTGCGGCTAGGCTGGGGTCGGCGGACAAGAAACGTAACAATGACACAACAGTACGACATGCATTTTTTGCCCCAATTGATACAATGAAACTTCAAACAATGTGGCAACCACCCAGCAGCTGTGTCTACGGCAGTCTACGACTACTGAAGCGTCTAGATCAGGCGGCGCCTGCACTGGGAGCATCAGAAAATAGACAGCTTAGCCACATTGGCCAACAGGTTTGGGCGGTCCTTTGACCTTTGTCTTCTTAATTGTAGTTATCTTCCGTAGATACTGGAGAATTCCGTTGCCAATTGAGGAACTCTCAAAGTGTATCTCTTTAACATGCTTTGAGTATATACAGGTGTATGGATTGATGGAGTAGGTGCTCGTGGCGCACTGTCATCAAGTGTAAAGAATCATTTCATCCAGTCTCAGGATCCCAATCTGCTTCTTTGCAGCTAAGCATGCTATGCAGGCAAAGCAAACACCATTCGGAACCATTCCTTTCGTCAACCGAATTACTTGCGACCGAGAAAGCTGGGCACGCCAGCCTGTTGAAGGGAACACACTGTGTCGACAATACAAGGACAAGAAACATTCACGATTTCACAAAAGTCTCTTTTGTCGAGGGAGGATAATGGGGCAGGAGTATTTTCTTTGTGTTCAACGTTTCGCATTGCCTTTTCAATTGATACAGTAATTAGAGGCAGCACTCACATTCTTGCGCTACATGCACCCCAATTGCTGGAGTCCCGTTTGAACTTTGAGTCTGAGGCCAGCACCTGCGGAGGGTCTCGGCCTCAAATTCACAAAGGTGACCATATCCACGACTATTTATTCGGTGTTGAGTCGGAATCAAACAAAATCAAGCAAGCGCAAGAGGCCTTTGGAAATTCTGAGCCCAGGATTCCATCCTCTATCCAAGACGTTGTCCGCCATGTTTCCTGAATGCATCATGTCGTTTCATTTTCGCAGTAGGTTGGATGTATAATGAGCTCGGTAGAGAGTTTAGGTTCGGGAAGCCATTAAAACGATTTCCTATGAATCATTTATGGCTCCAACAGTTGACCAAACTTAAAGTTGCCACAAGACTCAAGACTCTCATGGGGGTCAAGGCCATGAGAGTTATTTAAAGGCTTACGCCTAACAGCCGGGCGCCGGCCCACTTGGGTCTGTGGGGCGTATGTCACGCCCATGTTGGCCTTGGTGGGGCCTATATTGAGCAAAGTTAAGCTATCTGGTGCGCATCTTGGCCCTAGGTTGGGCCAAGTGGGGCCCATGTGGTGTATGTTGGGCACATCTTGGCCCCAGGTTGAGCCTATGTTGGGCCTATGTTGGCCTATGTTAGGCCTATGTTGGCCTAGGTTGGACCTATGTTGGGCCCATGTTGGGCCTATGTTGGCGTATGTTGGCCCCACGTTGGCCTATGTTGGCCCTATGTTGGCCCTATGTTGAGCCATCTTGGAGGCTATGTTGGCCATATGTTGGGGATATGTTGGCTATCTTGGGCCTATGTTGGGGATAT